AAAAAAAAGTTATTTTGTGTGTTTTATTTCTGTGACTGAGTGTGCAATTTGACATGCTTTAATTTGATTTCATTGAGTAAGGTTTTAATATCTTTAAACAAATAAATTCCCTTGCTTTAATGAAGTACATGACAAGTCTGTGCCTTGTACAAAGCTCCAGAAGGCATTGTACCAGTACCATCCAGACCAGTCTATGTAAAAAATAAAAATCAATGGACATCCTTATAAGAAAACATGAAAAAGATGCCTAACTTCTACAGACAGATGAAGAAAGGAAAATCAAGAGAGAATGGCAGAAAGTAACTGTTCTGAAGATCTTGCAAAATCAAAACAAATAATAGAGATAAGTAAAAAGAAGCCTAAACAAGTTTAAGATTTCTGTTATTATTATATAAACTATTCCGTTACTTTAAAGATAGATAATTCTACAGCTTTTGGGAGAAGAGAGAGAGCTAACATTGGGTGTAGAAAGCACATCATCATAAGGATCCGGTATTGGTCCATCCAGTTGAGGAATCTTCAATAATGATCTTGCTATATGTGATGATGCCACACTGTTTGTAGAAGTTCTACTGCTGGGTCTACCATCGGTAGCGTTGTATCCACTTATCTGCAAAAGCTTACCACTAAGGAATTTCAAAGACTGATCACAAGCATTCAGCAAAATGTAATCACGTGAGTTCTATGAAGTAATGACTGTAAACAATTTAACTCAAAAATTTTTTGGAACAAGCTCGACAGGATATTCTCCCTTTTAGCAACTTCAGCGCATATATAGGAAATAAAGCAAACAGCATGGGTCAAAAGAGAAGATAAATGAATCACAGAAATTAAATGGAAAATAAAAACAGTACAAATCAAGTATCGTAACCACTTAAAGCACAAAACTTGAGGGTGAATATTGTAATCAAGCTGAAGTGTAAAATTACTCTGAGACAAAACCTATGGTCTTCAAGAACGTGGCACTATAAAAAAAGAGAATATCTCATATTTTTCCTTCGCCAGATTCACTATCAGACTTTGGAACTCCCTAGTATGTTTAAATGGGTGAATGGAGTAATTTAAATGTTTCAAAAACAGAAAAACTAAAGTTAGCACGGATGACGAGCTATCATACTTAAAAACTAAAGTTAGCACGGATGACGAGCTGTCATACTTAATGAAAAGTACTATAGGGTGAGTTTGTCATCATAGTCAGAGCTCTCTCTATGCTAAAAGGAAAACCAAAGTTCCATCATCCCAGCAAAGGCAGGTCCAATATTTGAAACAATGAGTGAATCCAGGATCTGAGGTTAATAAATCGACATTCATTTTTGGCCTCCCTCTAGCTTGCTGATGGTATTATGGGCAGCTGGAACTACCATCTACACCCGTGGAAATAGGCAGAGGGTGTTGAGAGTAGAGCATGGGGAAAAATACAGAGGAAGCAATCTTAGAATATTCGTATGAATCCTTAATAAATTTGCAAGGATGTACTGTTCTAGCTGCTTGAGAGTATCGAGGAGTCACTAAGATTTGGTTACTGCAATCTATCAATAGTCCTTCAAAGACTGTCATTAATCCAAATAGTCTGGTGTTTTACAAATACTTAAAGAGAGTTTGTCATAGAGCTAGCATCTATGTTGTTGAGGCAATTGGAAAATAAGAATCAGGTTGTAAACTAGAGACCGACCTCTCTAATAGTCTGGGATTTTACAAATTACATAAATAGAGCTCGTAATTGAACTTGAATGTGAAACTGTCACTTTTCCCTCACTTGTGGAGTTCATTTTGAGTTATTGTGTGTTGTTTCCCATAGCGATGGAAAAAATAACAGAGGAAGTTTCCACATCAAATATTAATTTTATATCTTATACACTTATAAACCAAAAAAATATATATATTTGAAAGGTTTCCCTAAATTGAAGGCAAACTAAAACATGCCTTAGTAAGTTATTAGGAGGTAGCATGGCTCCATATGTTAGAATGCTACATCATGTACATGACAATCATCCAAGAAAAACAATTATAAGAAAAATAGAAGACATTGTTGCTGTTGTTCCTAACTTTCACTCACACAAGACTATGAACTGAAATTCGATCTCTTCATGATATGAGAAAGAAAATTGGCATACAAGTACAAGGCTGAAAAGGATCTCCTAGAGTGCTGACAAGAAGTAAGAAACAGAACCTCAATCTCAAAGACACTATTGGCAGCATCTCCAGCTCCATCTTGCTGCGGTATAAATCCATTATTCTGGTACTGGGAAGCAAAATCTTCACGCTTACGCTTTCCAGAGTTCATCATGAAAAAGTCCTGAAAATTGTTTCCCTAAGTTGAAACATCACACTCAAGTTTTGTGCTTATAGATAAATGGCAGCAAGGAGTAATTTAAAATCAGAAGCAGATGAATTTTACAGTGGTTTCACATCAGGCAACAATCTTCTCCAAGATGACAACACGAATCAGGAAAGGAGTTACCTGTGTGAGGGATTGATGAGAGGCTCCTCTATCTGCTTCATCACGCCCCTCCACATAGGCTACAAAAATGCAATATATATTAATCCAGAATTATTGGTGTGGAAATTTTTTCACTCCTTCAAAACTAAACTCACCAATATTAACGTCTACAGGAGTTCTTTGACCCATCCAAGAAGGAGGTTGCTGAAACAATAACGTAGAAGTCTATCAAATACCCCAATTAATGCCAATTCAACTATCAACAGCATACTTTAAAATGTTTATAGTAAAAACCATATCAATTCCATTCTTCCACCTCAAAATCAAATTGACAGCGGCCAAGATTTCATTACAACCCTTCCTCTTATCAAATAAATAAAGGCAGAAAAAAATACTGCAATAATGATGATATGAAGTGGGGAAAACTGCAGGGAATGAGAAAATGTAAAGATTGCCAGTGGCAACAAAATCAAGCAGTAATTACCATGAATGGGTTTGGCCTTCCAGATCTGACCTCAACATTATTAGCACTACCTCCAGGAGTGGTAGCAGCTGGAGAAGCATCAGTTCCAGATGCAGAGTGGTCACTGGGTCCAGTAGGAACATTATACATCGCGTTGTCCGCAGTTCCCGGTAAAGGTGTTTGAATTGGAGTTTGTAATGGCGTCTACAATTGCCAGAACCGTTTCGATTATTAAATTACAAACTTGTGAAACCATTTAGTAGAAGGGACAGAATTTCTCACCGGCGGAAAGAGTAAATCAGCTGTGGGAGTTTCGTACTCTTCAGTCCCCTCATACGGAACATTGAGATCGTGAACCGGCGTTATCGGACCTCCGGGTGTGGGCTTAGATGGCGCAGACCTCTCTATGGGACCGCTAACGGCACCCGCTTGCATCATTTTCGCCTCCCACATCTAAAAAAATCCCATTAACAAAGACAATAAGCTAAACCCACAGCTTAAATTAGCTTCAAAGCCTCAAAACCCTAGAAACAATCGGATCAAACCCATAAGGTAATCACCGAAAAAATTCTATCGATTCCTTCAAATAAATTGAGAAAAGAAAACATATATTTTATTTTGCTAGAGAAGCTAAGAATATAAGGCAAAGAAGAATAACAAGATTTTCAAGATTGGAGATAAAGAATTATTACTCCTTGAAGCTCCTTGAGAACGTCCTCTCCAGGACCATTATCAATGAACTCGTCGCGAAGCTTGTTGATGACATCTTCGATGACATTGATGTAGATAGAGCTCGTCGAAGTCGCCATAACGGATCCGCCTCGCTCTGTCTACCTCCGATACCCTCCACTAGCGAAACCCAGGAACCGAGTCTTCGAGAAAATTGGAGAGAAGACTCAATGAATAAGATCCATGGGATCCGAATAAGCTTCTGGGATTTGTAGAGTTCTGTGAAGTAAAAGAGGGCAGAGAAGGCGAGGGAAAGAGGGAGAGGGGAGAGAGAGAGAGAGAGAGAGAGAGAGAGAGAGAGGGGGGGGAGAGAGGAGAGAGGCGGACAAGAAAGAGAGAATAAAGAGTGGAATATAAATAGGTTTGCATCCGATTATAATGCAAGGATCCACGTGGCGAAATCTGCTTCAGCCTTATTTTCCGGTTTTCTTCCGGTCCGGTATGGTCGACAATAAATATTACTAAAATATTATTTTCGTGGTATACTTTTAAAATGTTGTTTCTCTATTTTTAAAATTTTTGTTTTAGCTTATGTATTTAAAAAAAGTAATATTTTTACCAATATTTTCAAAATTTTAATACAAATTCTATAATATAAAGTCATGATTACATTTCAACAAATGTAGATGCAGTGACGTGCTAAAATTGTTATAAAAAATGAAATTAAAAATAAGATAAAGTGAGTAAAATAACTATTTTTTAAAAGTACATGAACCAAAATTAATATTTTCAAAATCCAGTAACAAAGTAGAAAGTATAGGGATTAAAAAGAACCAAGCTAAACCATAGAGACCAAATATAATATTTTAACTTCATATATATTAGTTAAATATAAGAAATGGTCGTTCATTTTTAATTTAATTATTGATCTTTTAAAATTCTCAATTTTATCTTTAAACGCATTTCAACTATGTTCTTCCATGAAATTCTGTTGTATTTTATTTATAAATAATTTTTTTTCAAATATAACATATAGGAGTGGGCATTCGAACTTTAAACCTCGTGATTGGATATATCCACATCCCTAAAAATTATTTGAACATATAAATATGCTATTTAAGCGACATATCAACAAAATTCAGACTTTTCATCAACTCTCATGACTAACACAATCATATATTCATTTAACAAAACAAATGCATTATTATACGAAATGACTTAATTGATTTTTTTTAATACATTTAAAATGTTCAAAAGTTGACCAAATTAAGAAAAATCTAAAAAATCAAATACTATATTTTATATATTTGGGCTCATAAATTTATTTATTACGTAATGAAGAATTTAAAATACATGAGATTTGCAACAAAATACCATGAATATTATGACAAAAAAAACGAATTAATTGAATTGATCGATAATAGTTTGACATTTACCTTTATTTTGAAATTTTTTGAAATAACATTTACCCTTATTAAAAACTGAATTTTTGTCTACAAATCATAATTATATATATATATATATTTTTTTTTTTGAAGAAATAAATCATAATTATATTGTTGTGCTTGTGCGTTATACAAATTTAAATTAGTTACTTGACATCGAATTTTATCCCACGCTAGACTGAGACTTAAATACTATAAACATAAATGTGAATAAATGTACTTTAATTGTTGTTCTTTACTTGATTTCCCACAGTATTTGTTTGTTTGAATATATCAACAAATTATTTAATGATTGATTGATTAAATTGAAAAAGGTACTTAATGTCAAAATCCAAGCATACTTCATTAGAAAGTTGTATATTTTTTTGTTTAAGGTTTAAGATTCAATCTTCCACCTCTGCCACTGTTAAACTTTAAAATAATAGTCAATTTGAGCTAGCCTAACTAGTTAAGGCACTTATCTCCGACCAAAAAGTTTTGAGTTCGAATCTTCACCACCACATATTAAACTTAAAAAAAAAGGGGGGGGACTAACCTCATCGTGGTAATTAGAGGACATCTTTGATCGTTCACCTCTAATATGACACGTTCCCTCTCAATTATATGATCAACGGGATCAGTCGTCTCTTGAGCGGGACTCTTTTTCTTTTAAATGATAAAATTAACTTCAATGGCAAACTAAGTTACATTGGCAAAGTTTATCACCATGGATTGCAAATGGTTATTCGGACAAATAAACAAATAAGATTGTGTGTGTGTGTTTTGGTCCAAACAAGGGATGTGAGATTCAAATCTCATATACCCTTGACTCGAGTGTATATAATTCAACTAATTAATACATTAAATTCTTTCAAAGTGAGATGGTAATAGTTGTCTTATCCAATCAACTATGTTTATATTAACTATATGAACCTACAACATAAAAGTAGATACTCTAATCACTAAGAGGATCACGTTAGTTTCTATCAAATAAACCTTACTCAATAACGTGGGAGCAATAAGACCTTATGCCCATTGATCAGTAACATCGAAAAGTTAAACGTTGAAAACAAGACAGAAAAATATTACTAAAACGACTTTGCTTTATAAAAATAAATAGCTATTTTTTTAGAATAACTAATAATTAAAATTATTATTAAATGAGACTTTAATATATTTTGATTTAAGCAATGATATGAGGTTTTTGGGAGATGTATACATACTCAAATAAATAAATTAAGATGAGTGGTGTAATGTCTTACAATATTAAAAAAATGCGCTTTATCCATCGGGAAAAACCCCGGACAAAGTATATTTTGTCAAGAAAATACCAAATTTTTGTTCTCAATATAGATTTTATTATTATTTTTCTTTTAAAAATTTCAAGGAGGGAGATCGAATAATCATCAATCTCTAGAACGTTAATTGGAATCTTAATGGTTAAAATAATCGATTTGGTTAATATAAGTCAGTCAGAATGATGTTAGAAACCAACTTGAATATAGTTTAATCAGTTAGAACATTGTTTCCAAATAAAAAATAATAATAATAAAGAAAAAAGTTAGTTAAGCCCACGGTTCAAAATGTGAGAGACATGTCGACATGTCGACGTACATAGGGGAAAAGTCGATTTTCCCCCATGTCGTCGACATGTCGAAATGTCGACATGTCTCTTTTTTTTTCCTCTTCTTCTTTGAGGTTATTTTATTTTAATTCTCTTCTTACTATGTCACTGCAGTTTATATTTTTTCACAACCTCGATGATTGTAATTTTAGTCTGTTTAATAAAACATTCGAATTTTAATTATAACTAATAAGATTTGAAATTTGTTTTATTGATAATTTCTAATCCAATCTAGTCCTTACTTACACAATTGAACAATATATATGAAATATTGACATATATAAAGATTGAAATAATCTTAGAATTTTTAAAAAATAAATTATTATTATATACAAATAGTGGTGAAACATTAAGTAGAATAGGTAACTTAATTAATACCAAAAAGATGATCTTAGAGGATCTAATGCACTATCTTGATAACTTTGATATAAATTACAATAGTTCTCCCCGATCATCCTAGACTGAAAGTTTTGAAGGTAGTTGCTCAAATGAGCAGAATATGAAGCACATATGGATCCCATTGGTAGATAATTTGGATGAATGACACAATCACGAGGTTGAGATGTTTGAAAATTGTGTAAATTTGATTGGAAAGTTGGATTGATGATTGATTTGAAAATGTATTTGAAAAATGTGTAAATTCAAATTTGAAAAGAGAAGTAGGTAAAAATTAAACAGGTACGAGTTAATTAGAATTTAGAAATGTGTTTGGAAACCAAGTCGGTAATTATCTCATTTCCAAATGAATCCTACTATGAAAAATAGTAAAGAAGTAGTCAAAAGTTTACAATTAAAGTTTACTTTACATATTCAAATAATTTTCATGAATCTTCATTAAAGGAAAAAATCTTTTTTCGATATTTCCATCGACATCAACATTTTTATAAGTAAAATGGTCACATTCTTACATTTAATAGTTAAAGGGGATCAATTTTAGGCTAATTAAGCTACAATTCAAGTTTTGTTTGCTAATTCAAAAAATTTTCATCAATTTCCACAATTTCCATTATTTTTTCCGAAATATCCATCGATATCGACATGTCCATCAACATGTCCGTAAAATCGGGACCTCGACATTTTCATCGACATCGACATTTTGAACAGTGTAAATCATTAGTATCCATTTGAAATAAGGATAATGTAGCAATTATATTCCTTCCGGTTGAAAGTTTGATCTTCCACTCATGATTGTTAAACTATTAAAATTCTCACCTTTATATCTATTTTTTTTCTATACAACATGTGAGGATGGAGATCGAACTCACAACCTCGTGGTTCGAGATATATGTCAATTATTACTGAGCTAGTATATTCTCAAAGGTATATATATATACATTAGAAAAATAAATTAGCCTAAAATATGCATAGATCTAATAGGTCAATTTTTCAAAATTTCACAATTATATTTGTATGTTATATTCTTAAAATATTAGTACTTTGAAAAAAATTTAGCACGTAATAACATCAAATATGAATATGTATTATTAAATATAATTAAAAGTTAAAAATTTTACAAACATAACGTAATTTAAATTTAAATACTATATAAAATATATTAAGAAAAGTCATACTTAAATTATATTAGAAAAAATGAAAAGTTATAATATATTTTTTTAGATAGGTAAGCAGTGAAATTTCTTTTTCTTTTTAATAATTTGTTGCTACAAATCTAGAGTCAATCTATATATAGAACTTAAGTTAAAGGTACTTATTTCGACTAAAAGTTAATTCGAATCGAATCTCCGCCCCTACTGATGTTAAAAATAAAATAAACATCTTCCACCTTTTGTTTGAAAAATAAAGAAAATGTAAATTTTTAATCTAGCTTCATCAAATTAAAATTTAAACTTAAATTAGTTGTACAATTAAGATAATTATTAAAATCAAGCTAAAAATGTTAAAAGCTAGCTTATAAGTCAATATTTTAACCCCACATATAATCAAAGTAGCTAAAAATAATTATAAACCTAGCACCGAAATGACAATCTCAACAAAATCGAATCCAATATAATCACGAAAATCATCAAAAATATTTAAAATTAATGATTGTAACTCAAATAATAAAATGTATTAATCCTAATAGACATTTCTACCTCTCCATTACTAACTTGGGTCCGAAGCTTCAGCTCTTTATTTATGATAGACTAAACCTATGTTTTAGTCAGTTTGATTTTTTATTTTCTTTTTAATTTAATACGTATTATTGAAAGTTTTGATAATTTTCAATTATCCCATCTTGTTTGTAAGATAATCTAATATTACATGTCACTTGGCGAGCTTGAGAAATTTAGAAGATAATTATTTTAGTGCTTTAGAAGTTTAAGCCTATAAGAGAGCAAATTTTAAATTTCTACAAAATCAGTAGAAATTTGAAGATAGATTAGAAATTTTACGAGTTTGAAGTGATATGAATTATACTCCAAATTTTTACCAAATCTTTGAATATCATATCATATAGACTTACCATCGCCCGATTTTAACATTTACCAACCCAAAAAATAATTTAAAACTAGTTAAACTTGTTAGCGGTAAAATCTGACAAAGACACGTGGATCACTTACAAGACACCACAAAGACTTGGGGCCCATTCCGATCCTCATGAGCCAACGAGGAAAGTCTACTTGCCCATGGACTGGTAGTACATCAGCTTGTCCATCTTTCTCTGGCATAATTCTCTCATATTAATATCTGCTGATATTCAGTGGGAGTATGATCCACGTGCCAGAGTAAAGTTAATGAAGAATCATTGTCACCGAATATTCTAAAGCACGAATACCTAGATCGCTCTCTTATAAATAGAGGAGTCAAACACTTCTCAAATGTACGCAAATTCTTGCACAAAACTCTTTGCTCTCCTATCTCTAGCTCTTCGGACTTGAACGCTAACTTAGACTTCATAGTGCATTAGAGTCTTAGAGAGAGCACCACCAATGTTGAATTTGGACTTGCAATAACTCTGGTGTAAGAGATCCTCACCTCATAGCTTCCTTGCAATGTTTGTTTGACCAAAATAGTGCATGAACAAACATAAAGGATGAAATTAATTGTAAATTTTGAAACAATAGGACTAAATTATTAAAAAAAACATTAACATAAAAAGGGGAAAAAAGTTAAAATTGTTAGTTTTTGCTTTTATTTTTTATTCATTTATTTATTTTGGTGAGATAAGTAAGAAGAGGGATGGAGTGGATGGAAATGGATAAACAAAAATGATATTTTATATAAACAAGGTCAATTCAATCTTGCTGCAACCTCTGATTTTCAAATTTTATTCAGTAGATAAAGTGGTACACGTGGCATCCTTCTATTTGCTTCTTCTTTATTTCACTGGATAATATTCCAAATAATCTCGAAATTTGATGGCGATTGGTTCTGGTTTTGGGGGACGTGGGGACTGTTTGTGTACGACTGAAATCCAATTCCCAGGCATGGATATCAGAGAAACCTGAAGCGGAAAGGAGGACCAGAAGCTGACCACCGTTCCTTCTCTCTGTTCTCCTTATCCCGATGGCGGCGATCATAACCTCCAACTCGTTTATCTTAACCACCGCCCCAAACACCCGGCGAAGCTTCAAGAGCCACCGGAGGCAGTTCGCGGTCTACGCCAGGAGAAGTGGAACCTTCGGTTCGCTTCGCCTGGGGAAATCGAGCAATGGATCGCCGTCGTCCGACGATGCTCCGCCGGAAGAATCCGGGAACTCGAATCCATTCCGTTTCAATTTTGGAAAAGTGCCGGATATGAAGTCTCTTATTCCGGTCGTTAGCAATCCTTCGTCGTCTGGTCTGTCGTTTGGGAACGCGAGGCGGAAGGATCCTAACACTGTGTTCGTCGCCGGCGCTACTGGTCAGGCCGGCATTCGATTGGCGCAGACGCTGTTGCGTGAAGGTTTCAGTGTCCGTGCCGGTGTGCCGGAGCTTGACGCTGCGCAAGAATTGGCTCGCCTTGCCGCCAAGTATATGGTGAGTATGATTGAATTCTGTATCTGAGAATGGAAGATTTATAAGGATTCCATTGTTTTCTGAATTGATAATTCCACTATCGCATATGGTTCAGTGATTCATTTTGACATTAACATTGTATTTCATTTATCGAACACCGAAAGTCATATCGCGCATTCGATTGTTTTCTGAATTTGATAATTCTACCTTCGCATCTGATTCAGTAATTCATTTTGACGATTACATTGTATTTTAATTGTCGAACACTGGATTAGGTCATATCGAATGAAGAATCAAAGCGGCTCAACGCCGTCGAATCCACCTTTCAAGACGCCGAATCGATCGCCAAGGCGATCGGAAACGCCGGCAAAGTTGTTGTCACTATTGGCGCGGCAGAAAACGGTCCGACCTCCGAAGTTACCACATCGGACGCTCTGCAAGTAATTCAGGCAGCGCAGCTCGCCGGAGTAAGCCACGTGGCCATCGTCTACGACGGCAGCGCATTGAACTCCTCCACCTACAATGTACTCGACGGCCTTTCGTCATTCTTCAACAATCTTTTCTCCCGATCTCAGCAGTTGTCCGTGTCGGAGCTGTTGCAGAAAATCGTCGAAACCGATGTCGGCTATACATTCATCAAGACGAATTTAGTCGAAGACTTTGCGCCTGAACGGACCTACAACGTCGTCGTCGGAGCTGAAGGAAGCGCTAGTTCAAACGACTACAAAGTAATGTAATGTATGCCATAATTATCAATTAATGTCGACAATTTTTTCCTTTTTCTTCTGAGAAAATTCGTGTTTGTTTTGAGGATGTGTCTAATTGACTTCAAAATTATTTTCAGGTGGCCAAGTCACAGATAGCATCGCTGGTCGCCGGCGTTTTCTCAAACACAGCGGTGGCCGAAAACAAGGTACCTGCATTTCACTGCACCGATGATTACGCCCATAAGCTTAGGAATTTAACTATTTTCAATTTCTGTCACTGCTTTGATTATTGATTGGGCATTTTTCATCTAATCACTAAGGTTGTGGAAGTTTATTCTAGTCCATCTGCACCTTCAAGTTCAGTAGAACAACTTTTCAGGTAAGTTTTTTTTGTCCTCTTTTGTATTGTTTTTTGTTTAATTAGACTACCTCTTTATCTTTCAAACTATTTTATATACCACACAATTCAAATTCATCTGCAAGATGGTTAGAATGGAATTTCTGTGACATTTTCTAATTCCTTCCTCGTGAGTCTCAAATTTATTAATGTATTCTTTTAAATTCTGAACAGCTGAACATGACTGATTTTAACACTACCCTACCGAGCATATGGTTGAAAAGTTGGATATTTTAAATGGCTAATACAGAGACTGTAAGCCAAAATACAATTTAAAATGGACGATGGCTCGAGGTGACCTAAATAAGAGTCCGTTTAGTGTAACGTTTTCATTTCTTATTTCTATTTCCTCTATTTTAATAAAGAAAAATGAAATTCATGAACCTCAACACTCATGGATTCAAGAATGATAAAACAAAATTTTTATTTATGTAGGAACAAATTGGAAATGGGAACAAACTTGTTTTCGTTGTTTCCAAATTTTTATACAATTTTGAGATTGTTTCTAAAAATAATAAAAAACATAAATAATTTGTCAAAGGTTTAGAATTTTTTTACAAAATTGAAAACGAGAAACAAGAAACAAAAACGTTACCAAACGGACACAAATTTCTCCCTTTTTTCAAACCGAATATATAATATAATGCACTGAGGGTTCTTGTATTAAGGATTGCAATTAGAAGATGAACTGATTTTTGGTATAAATTGGTAACAGTGCCATTCCTAAGGATGGGAGAAGGGAGGCTTATGCTGAAGCACAGGCCAAGGCAAAAGCAGAGGAAGAAGCCATAAGAGCTGCCGAGAAAGCCCGTCAAGAGGCAGAGGCCGCAAAGAAAAAGGAAGAGCAGGTTGCTAAAAGACTCTCAGAAAAGGCAGCCAAAGCTTCTTCTCCTCCTCCTGCTGCTGCCGCCGAAGAATCCGATCAAATTGCTTTCTTTAACACCTTCTTGAACAAAGCAAAGGATTTCAGTTCAGAGCAGTCCCAAAAGCTCAAAAAGCTCACAGAAAAGGAACCTCAGGCACCCTCTAAAGCTAAAGCCGAGGAGGAGGCCGAGAGTGCAGGTAGTTTTGTCAACAACTTTTTCAGCAAAGCCAAGGACTTGGGCTCAGCGCAGCCATGGGAGAAGCTAGCTTTTCAGCTGCAGAAACCACCATCTGAGGAATCAAATGTTCAGGTAGCCACAGTGAGAGGACAGGCCAAGGCTCGAGCTCTGCCATCAAAGAAAGCCGCCGTGAGGCAACCACAGACCAATTCCAACTCCAAGCCTCCATTTGCCGTGAAGGCGAAAGAAAACTCAAAGCCGAAAGGCAAAGAGGAGGGATCAAAGGCAGAGGTGAGGAAGGTTTTTGGTGGTCTCTTTTCGCAAGAAACCTTATATGTTGATGATGATTAGGAAGACAGAATTAATATTTGTTTCAGTTTCTGGCTTTTATGGCTGATAGAACTCTTTGAAGTTTGAAGAGATCATTTTTATTTGTGTATTTACATTGTAATCTATGTACGTATCTGTATTCTGTGTTTGAGGGTTGGTTTCTTGGTTTTACTTTTACAAGTTTAAGCGAAGAACATGGGAGTTTGTTTGTTGTTGTGATTGTGAGACATTCAATTGTTTTTTGCAGTTGAAGAGGAGATTATCCAGCTCTTTGTAAATGGATCTACTCAAGTTAATTTAATATTGTTCATGCTTTACGGCCTTTGATCCAATAAGATCATTTTTTTTAATATCAATTTATAAATTCATAGTTGCGTCAAAAATCGTGCAAGGATATGAGTTAAGAACATGTATGAATTGGGATTAGGAATTCAAATTTTCGACCTTCTAGATAGTTCGAAATCTATCTCAATATCGTGCAAGGATATGGGTTAAGAACATGTATGAATTGGGATTAGGAATTCAAATTTTCGCTAGAAGATAGTTCAAAATCTATCTCAATTTATAAACACTTTGCTCTATTTACCTCAAAAATCGTGCAAAGAACTGAAAAAAGACTCAAAAATCGTGCAACGATATGGGTTAAGAACTCGGGCTTTTCAGTCCGGTGGAGAAATAGAAAGAAAACTAAAATCAGATCTCTTCGATTGAGAAGAGATATTCAGAAATAAACTTAAAATGAGTATTAGTTGAACTTGAATTCCTTGTGAATCAATAAACTAAACAATGAAATAAATAGAATTTTCATTAAGATGCAGAGAGAGACCGATGGAAAAAAGTCCACCATTTTCAAGAAGCTACACAGTATATAATTATATAAATATATTAACAAAGGAAATCAATATGCAGATACTCATATACTGTAATTTAAACAAAAATAAAAAAAAACTCCCACACATCAACCAAACCAAAATTCAGCAAAGACGAAGCACAAGGATCATCAAAACAGATGCAAGAATAAAAGAGATCAATACCATAAACACTCCGATCATCATCCAATTTCCCAAACAGAGTCCATCAATCTCCGCCACCTCCCTCACCACCACCGCCGTGGCCATGGGCACTGCCACCGTCATCCTCAACGGCATCCATGGTTGCCGCTGTCGTACCCATCACAACGACAGCAGCCACGGCGGCATCACTGCCTCCACCTGCAGCAGCACCTGTGTTTGTGTTGCCATCTCCACTACTATCACTACTAGAGGAATGCTTACCTCCTTTTTCACCTCGACGAGATTTGCGGCGGGAAGGCTTTGATTTGGAAGATTTCTCTGATCCGCCATTAGCTTTGTGGCCATTTTTATGGCGAGGAATACAGAAACAGATCTTTGTGGACTCCATAGTTGAGCTGAGCTGAGCTTGAGCTTCCCTGGTTTGGTTATCTCTTCCTCCTCTTCATTGAATCTTTAATTATAAGAGTTCCTTTGGCCAACCTGTAGAAATCTTTGTTACCAAGTATCAATAAATATCAAAACAGAGGGAGATTTCGAGTCAAACTGTCAACTTTTTCTGTTGCTGTCTTCTCCCCCTTCTTTCTTCCCCCTCTTTACACTAAAGTTGTTCGTAGGGGAAAGTTTTCCAATGGGTGCAATCCAGCTAGCTAAAGGGACAAAATAATAGCTGAGAATAACTTTAATGATTTGTCCTAATATCTGGATAATTGAGATGAGTTTAACCCTTGCTCCAAAAAACAAAACAAAAAAGAGGGAAGAAAAAAAAAGATGAGTTCCAACCGTGGTTAAAGTTGCTAATTCCATGTCAAAAATTTGAAGGATGTAGTAAGCATATTTTAAAATAATAGTCATGAATATTGAGTAATGTTAAAGTAAAATTTGTGTCTAATAATAAGACTAGACTAATGAAAAATGTCATGTAGAGCATTCAATTGGACCTGTCATTTTCTGCAATAATTTGGTCCGCCGCTGATCAAATAGTAAAGTTGATTCTGTCTCAATCAAATCAATATCAATAGTTCATCTAATTGATTTTAACGATTCAATAAGCTAAAAACTACGAATTTCTTGGAATATGACAACGTGTGAAACGTTAAAAGAATGATATATTATATTTAACAAAGAAAGATGATATGAATGTACTATTGCTGTCTTGTAAAAAAATGTACTATAGATTTGGTTTGGAATCTAGCAAAAAGCTACAGAGAACACTCGACCAAAAGGATCTGTATCTCACAATATGGAACTATATTGCAGATGATAAACCTTCCATCACTCCTCTTCCAGGCTACGCACATTTAACTTCATACACCATTTATACCAGAGAGTTTTGGACATACATTCGTATCAACGTACAACAATGGCGCCGTCTTGCTTCATTTTAGTTAGACTGCTTTCGATGTTTCGGAGCACTGGCTTATAGCTACAATATAAGAAGAGACAGCTCAGAAAAAATATAGTTTCTGAAAGCAAATGGATCAACTGTACTCTATTTGAGTGAGAGAGAGAGGATCTTACAGGCGTGCGAGTCCGTTATATGCTTGTGTAGCCTGCTGGAGTCGTGTTGACAGCTGCAATACTTCTGATGATAGCGACTCTGCTCTGCTCTGTTCTTTCGCAAGTTGGCCCTAAGTCCGTATAGAAGAAATAACTAGTTCAGACATAATGAATTAACTAACATATGGCTGAGTATTCAACTTCCTGAAATGACTTCCAACATCATTGAGACGTCATATATGTGCAGAGGGGGATCAATGCATCCTAAGCAAGAGACTGACCTTTAGGGAGAGATATTCGGCTGTAAATGGAGGAGACTCGGTCGCAGTTGCCCCATCTTTATGAGACACTGGCAGACTCTTTGCTTGTTCTGTTCTCAACTCGTCTATAATTTGGCGAAGTACTTCATTTTGCTTTAGACAGTCTTTCACCTTAAAAAACTCTATATCAGCTGCAATTTAAAATTAAATCTAAAGAACAGCATTTTAATTAGACCGCTAAAGCAAACATACGGCACCTCGAGTATAAGCAACTCAACAGGAACGACAGATAGGACGTGTTCCAGAAGTAAAAATGTTAGCACCACTTTGCATGCCTACAGCATATAAAGTTCTAATTCTCCTATGTACATGCTTAGTAGTAAATAACCAAAATCCAATGAGGAGGTAGTGTTCATTTTAAAACAATGTGGAAACAATTCTATAACAGTGAAAAAAGTAATTGGGGGTTGAGGGGAAGGTGGATCTTTTTTAAGCTCTTGAAGACTTCATAAAAACTGCAAACAATTTTGTAAAGTTTACATTGACCTATAAATACCTGATTCTCCCAGTGTATTCCTATGCCCACAGCCTCATGGTAAGAGCTGGATAGAGTAGAGTTTTCCTCAAAAAGCTTCTCTATTTCTGAAGACTGCGAATCAATCTGCCAAAGATATGACAAAAAGCTTTCATTTAGAGGCATATACATAAAATTAACATGTTTAGTGAAATGCAATGAGAAGAAAATGGCAAAGACTTTACTTCCATCAGAAGCTTCTGTCTGCTATTCTCCAACCTCTCGATCACTACAGCCATGTCATGTAACTGCTTCTCAAGCTTGCTCTTCTCTTCCTGAAAATAACATAGTAATATCATATCTAGGGAAAGAAGGATGAATAATTAATACTTAAAACCTTTTGAGTATGAACCATGCAAGAAACAATTATTTATACTTGTAAGTTGTAAGTGACATACCAATGCAGTAACCAAAAAATAAATTCCTTTGCAATTTCTTTAAAAATAAAAAATAAAATAATGAAAATTACTTACAAATGAAAATGTCTTCTCCACTGCCTTCTCTGAGATTTCTGTAGCAAAACACACAAAAAAGAGAGCACTTCAAAAAGAGCCAAAACAATTGCTAGATGATAAGGGGACAAACTCTTGAAAGTTGTGTAAGAATGTATCAGGATTCAAGCAATATTAGCTTGGTAAGTACCTGAGGTCCTCGTAGACGTACTTGCAAGCTTTTCTTCAAGTTCTTGCTTTTCAGAAATGAGGTATGAAATACGGGCTTGCTCCTCTGATAATTTTTGTAGATCTTGCTGTCTCAAGATTGTCAATTTCTGTACATCATGAACTACATTAAGGCACTAACCAACACTCCAACAAGAAAATGACAGAAGTTTGTTCACAGCAGTCACACCTGCAACTCAGAATTTAACTTAGATATTTCCTTTTCTAAATTTTGCATCTGATCAAGTGGATTAGCAGTTGGCGTGATTCCTGCCAGCGAGCCACTCATTGCTTGTTGTTGTATTGAATTTAATTCTGCTCTCAAGGCTGCAGCATCTTCCTCCGCCTAGCACAGAAGAATTATTTTAATACCAAAAAGTTAATTTAACAAGTGGTTTGAAACTAATTACATACTTGATATTGTTCCTCCTCTGCATCCTTCAATTGTTTCCTTAAAGTGCGAAGCTGAGCCAACAGATCCTCCTATACCAATTCATCAGACCATCAGTAATGCTTAGGAGGAACAAAATGAAGGGAAAAATGAAAAAGAACCAAACATATAGACTGCATATACCCGGGCAACAACTGCTGCATCTTTCTCCATGGCTACATCTTTGAGAGATTTCCTTAAAGATGGTACCATGTTTGTCTCCTACAATAGTTGGGTAAGGTTGTAATCAAGTTGAAATATCCAATCAAATTTACAGAACACATATGCAATGATTGCCTGTTAAATAATTTCAGTAATATGAAGTAGGGGGTTAAGGGTTTAGAGTTTGTGTAGCAAGTTGGTTGGCTCCTTTAGTTGGGCTGTTTTTTTTTTTTTTTTTTGTATGCTCTTTCGTATTATTTCATTTTTCTTAACAGAAGCTTGGTTTTCCATCAAAAAGATATAAGGTTAAGAAAAGCATTCTATCATCAAACCAGAAAGGAAAAAATAGTTTTAATTGAAGGTAATAAATAGCGAAACCTTCTGCATTTAAAAATTATAACGTTCATTTCAAGATAGAAATTGGAGTTAACTACTTGCCTTACACTACAAAAACTGTATCAAATACATCACTTAAATTCAAGTACCCAAGGCTGAGATAGGTCTAATACGAAAATTTAATGTTGAAAATCAACGATTAACATAAGACACACAAAGGAACAGGGAAAAATCAGTCAGGAAGATCATTAATTACCAGTTCATTCAAGCGTTTCTGAAGCATCTCATTCTCAACTTCCTTGGATTGAAGCTGAGACAAAGTAACAATTACAAAATTCAAATAAATATGTGCATAATGCTTTCTATAGCATATTCTGCAAAATTAGAAAAAAAAAACTTAAACAGAACAAAACCTTCGAGCTTATGACGTTATTTTCTTCTTCTAATTCTGCATTCTTCTTCTGCAAATCTTGTATCTGAGACACCAAACCAGCCACATCGACCTACATAGAGAAACTGATCTCAGAAATCCGTTAAAAAGTAAAAACAATTCGGAAGCGGCCTATCTATTTAATAAACTCGCTACTGGATGAAATTCATTTACAATAGCAACAATTGGATATTAATCCGACAAGTTCCTCGGCATTCACACCGCATTTTCTTGCCAAATTTGAATTTTATACAAAACAAAGGCCCCGGCCAAAAATTATAAGAAACTATTTAAGACGAAGCCTAAGAATCAATATCCAAACTTCAAAAAAAATGGCGGAGAAAATTAAGAATACGAAAGAAGTTTCTAACTCCAAGACATCAAGCAAGCGCAGAAAAATGACAAGAAAAACCTACCTCTGAGAATCGATTTCCGCTCTCTGATTTCCTAATTCCAGAAGTTTCTGTTCCAATAGAAAGAAATAACGTGAACAACCAACAATCTCAGTAGCAATTCCATATGAATCAACAATAACAAACCATTTGATTTCGCGGCAATGCTCAGATCTGGTCCGGAAGAAGCTTTGATCAATCTCTCCGCCGCTCTCTTTTGACGAATCTCTGCCAGCTGCCGAAACAATAAAGAAATTCGACGTATGAATGTCAATTCACAAACACGCTGAAGACATGCAATGTTGATAGGGAAACGAAGATAGGCAAAATGCTTACCGTTCGACGACCTAGAGATGCGTGGTGAGCGTCCATGGCGAATTGCGAGAATGATCAAGGTACGTTCTCTTGGTTCTCAGGTCGTATATTTTTCCATTACTCAAAAAACAAAATAATAATAATATATATATTTTTTTTTTCCGGCAACGACCAGGCTGTAAAAAGATTTTATAATAACTTTAAAGACATCTGTCAACAAAGTCTGGGTGGTGTAGTTGGTTATCACGCTAGTCTCACACACTAGTGGTCCCCGGTTCGAACCCGGGCTCAGACATATTATTATTTCCTATTAATATTGTTATATTACTTTTCGCATTTTCTGCCTGCTAAATGTTTATGGCTATTTCTTTCTCTCTTTTTTTTCTTTTTCCAATTCTAGCATAATATACGTATACCAATAGCAAATATAGCAAAATCCAAATATATATCTTTAATTATTATTATTATTTTATGTTAATTAATGAATTATCGGTTTTTTAAATTGTTATAAATACAATTGGTAGTTTAGAATAATTATTTATCCTGACTCTTAGAAAAACACATCTATAGATATATTAAAAACAAATGTTACCCATACAAATTTCCCAACAGAAAAAATATGATGATTGTTTTTTCGTGTTTTGTTATTTAAAATATTCTTAAATTTGATAACTTAAAAATCAATTTCAAGTAATCTTATGTTTAACTAAAATAAATTATGTCAAACTTGATTAATGGAAATGGGTGTAATTTTGATAATAGAAAAAGTGATTTCGTCTTGTCAAAATCACTTCCAAACACACTAAAATAAATTATGTCAAACTTGATTAATGGAAATGGGTGTAATTTTATAATAGAAAAAGTGATTTCGTCTCGTCAAAATCACTTCCAAACACACTAAAATAAATTATGTCAAACTTGATTAATGGAAATGGGTGTAATTTTGATAATAGAAAAAGTGATTTCGTCTTGTCAAAATCACTTCCAAACACATTCTAGATGTGTCTGCTTTAAAACAAATTTGATTTTTATTATAGAAAGAACGGTTTATTCTCAAACCATTCTTTTTTATATCCTCAAAAATATTTTAAACTGCTAGCTCCATATTAAAAATTTACAACAAATAATAATAATAATGAAAAAAAGTAATTCTTATTTTCGTTTTTATTTTCCACTAGAAAAATTAGTTTACTTTGTTTCAATTTTGTTTAGTGTGATTCATATTCTTTCATAACAGTACTTTTAAAAACTGGCCACAATATATTATCATGATACTACATTTAATAAATTTAAATTTTTTAGCTCAGTTGGGTATATAATTAATTTTAAAATTTTGCAAATAGAAATCAATGATACTACATTTAATAAATTTAAATTTTTTAGCTCAGTTGGGTATATAATTAATTTTAAAATTTTGCAAATAGAAATCAATACAGCCACCTTTAAAAGTATGGAGACCAAGACAACAAATGTTTGAAATTACGGGAACTAAAGTTTGTGTTGGATACATGTTTTTGTTTGCATGTTTCATCTCCTTTTTTGATTTGAGGATCCTCCGAAGTTATAGGATCCGATCCTCATCGTCCAACATTCACCACTTCCTTAAAGAGCCAAGTGAAAGAGGGCAAAACTCCGTTTAGTACAAAATAAGAGAAACATACACAAATAGTAATCCCACCTGTCTCATATTTGTTTAATTGCTAACTGAAAAATATAAGAATTTCTGATTAGGAGTAGCAAATGGAGACCAAATACAAATCAATTTCCCCAAATAATTGTTATATGAATGGAATTTGGTAACATTAAGGATGGAATTGGAAGTTGCAGGAAATAAACTAACACTTGCTGATGCGATAAGATATTCATTCTACATGCCCCACTATGAATACACTACAGTTTCCTAGTTTCTCCAAATCCGGAAGATCAAAAACAACAGATCAATTATGGAAAATAAAATAAATAAAGAAGGGAAGAAGAACACAAGAGAAACCTTTGGTGCGAACTATATCAATTCTATCTTTCTGTATCTGCTCAAGTAGAACAGCAACCTCTTTTGTTCGAGTCCCCAGAAGCATCCGAAACGTTGATGGTGGTTCCCTGACCGGGATGGCCCACGCTCGCAGCTGCCTCCTGGGCAGCCAATGCCTTTTTGCTGATGATGTGGTAGATCTCTGTCAAGATGGTTTGGAACGCCTTCTCGATATTAGTAGCATCCAGGGCTGACGTCTCGATAAATGATAGGCCTTCCTTCTCAGCCATGGCCTGCCCATCATCCTCCGAGACCGATCTAAGATGATTTAGGTCAGACTTGTTTCCAACCATCACAATCACAATGTTGGAATCTGCATGATCTCTCAGTTCCCGGAGCCACCTTTGCACGTTGTCGAAAGTCGGTCTCTTCGTGAGATCATAAACAAGAAGAGCACCAACAGCTCCCCTATAATAAGCACTAGTAATCGCACGGTATCGCTCCTGACCTGCTGTGTCCCAGATCTGTGCCTTTACTGTCTTTCCTTCTACCTGTATTGACAATAATATTGACCAAAATGAGATCAGATGACAAACAGTACAACCACCAAGTGTGTACAGAACTCTGAAATGGAAAAAAGAGTTCCAGACTAGATGATAATTGCCCAAGATAGTGATTTGGTAACTGAGGACAAACCTCCTTCTCTATTGGCCAACAATTGGCCTTGAATGTATAATTTGTTATAATAGAATTTTGGGTTTAGGATAAATAAGAACAGTGGAAAGGGATGCAAAATGTATATGATTCCATACATAGAAATATCCGATAATTTGGTTTGAAATCTCAATCTTCCTTCCCAGCACCTCCCTTCAGAAAATTCTGAATCTTTGCTCCATTCACTAGATAGCTTTTCACAAGAAAAAATAGTCATCCCTAAGCCAATGGCTATTGGTTTGGCCAAAATAGGATGGACATATCCTAACTTTTATATAAGAAACTTGTGGTTTCATCTACATTTAAAACGGTTTAACAGAACAGTCCGAATTTCACTAGGTTTGAATTTCACTAGGTTTCATCTTAATTTAAAACAGTTTACGAGAACAGTCCCAATTTCGTTATTTTTACTCTTTGTTAAGGAGAACATTCAAAATTTTAAGAGCGTGAGCATTTACAAAATTAGTGGAATACAACAAATATAAAAGGGTGCTTATAAGTTGGTAAGAAATAAGGGTGATCTAGAAATACGGGAAAAGGATTCTATCAATTCTCTCCTGCTCTAACTGCTTTCACAACCATCTTTTAGAATAATTGAGCACACATGGCATCATCATCTCTCAGTATTCCATAGAAATGGCTAAGAACCTAGATGGTTGCTTGTTAGATGAGCAACATATTATTTACATTCAATAAATCCAGCACCTATTCATCCAAGCCTAAACTTTTGTAGCCTCAAGCAAGAAAGTAACTACTTCGAAACTTTACTCAAAACTCCACATGCAACGAATCCACTATACTTTAACGATTGAAAGTAAAAAACCATCGCGTAAGGCTCCGTCTAGAAATCATCAGAACCTAGACTTCTGAAGTTCGTCAATCACAAAAAGCAACTCACACGATAAATCTAGAAAATGATAGGTACAAAAATGCACAAAATGAATGGAAAAAAAAATAGTGAGCGTCGAGCGATGATAAACGCAAAGAGCTCAGACGATTAAACTTCTACCTCGAGAGTCCTGGTAGAGAACTCAACGCCAATGGTGGATTTGGACTCCAAGCAGAACTCATTTCTGGTAAATCTAGAAAGAATGTTGGACTTGCCGACGCCGGAATCCCCGATCAGGACAATCTTGAACAAATAGTCGTACTCGTGGTCCACCTTGTGAGCCATGGCCGTCTCC